GCCGGGGCCAGAGGGAGCCGGCCGGACTGTGCCGTGCCGCGCCACACCTCCCCGTAGCCCTCCTTCTCGCGTTCCTCCTCCCCCCCACAGCCCCAGCTTACCTGCTGCTGCCGGCCTGCCCCTGCTTGTTTTCAGACTTCCCGCGAACATGTGATTCGTGGGAAGCAGGGGAGGGGGAGGAGCAAGGGGGCAGAACGTTCAGGGGAGGGGAGGAGGGAGGGGGAAGTGAGCTAGGGGAGGGGTGGACAGCTGCGGGGCCCTTTTAGGCGCCGCTTTTGAAAAATGTGATGAGGGGAAGCGGCTGCTTCCCCTGCACCCCACTAGCTATGCTAGTGTTGCTAACCCTATCGTTGCAAGTTTACACTTGGTGCCCTGCTCGCTCCCCCTACAGCACACAGGATTGTCTTCCCTTCATCAAGGAAGGAAGATCTTAAACAGTACTTAATTTGTAATGAAAGAGGTGCCGGGGATCAAGCAAATTTTTTTTTAACATTCATAACTGATGCAGCAAGCCCAGAAGTGCCAGAACTATGAACTGCCAAGCCTAGAGGTCCTGGGGCTCAGCCCTGGCACAAATTAAGCACTGATATTTACCCTACTCAAGTGCTTGAGCCTGTACACCTGACCCAAACAAGTCTGTAGGCCCAACACAGAAGAGAGACAAGTTACAGAAAGAGAAAAGAGAAAGAAAGAAATGTTTGTGTTTTGGTGTAAGCAGAACAAGGGAGGATGGGAGTCTCTGAACGATTATTTTTCTTCGCTCTACACACAGCTGAGGGATGATGTTCATTCTGCAAATAATTAGCAGGATATTACTGAGGGAGTGTCAAACCTGATTCGTATGTAAGCCCTCTGTGCAGGGCTAGGGTGACCAGACAGCAAGTGTGAAAAATCGGGACGGGGGTGGGGGGTAATAGGCACCTACATAAGACAAAGCCCCAAATATCGGGACTGTCCCCGTAAAATCAGGACATCTGGTCACCCTAGCAGGGACTGTCTTTTTGTTCTGTGTTGGAACAGCACCTAGCACAGTGGGGTCCTCGTTCCTGACTAGGGCTCGTAGGCACTAGAGGAATACATAAATAAGCAAAACCAGTACTTTAGTACTGAACTCTTAATGTGTAAAAGGCAGATACAAGTCACACATTAAAGTAATTGAAACAGAGTTTGGGTTGCATTTTAATGAGGATATGTCTACACTAGCACTTTTGTGAATAAAACTTTTGCAACGGTGTGGACAGCGCTGTGTTGGTGGGAGATGCTCTCTCGCCGGCATAGCTACTGCCGCTCATTGGGGGTGGTTTAATTATGCCGATGGGAGAAAGCTACACTGCGGCACGGTGTGCTGCTGTAAGGTCTGTAGTGTAGACAAGCCTGACTTTCTCCCTTTGGCTCTCAAACCCCTCTGACACGCTTTTCCCCACCCTTTCCCAACTGTACAGCCGTCATTAGAAATGTCTCAGTGGTACTCTAATCAGGTTGTCATTATATTAACTTGCTTCAGTACTTTGCAAAAACAGTAGTGCTTGACACTGTGTCAAATTAGCTGATGTCAGCTGATGTGCACACTAAAGAGAACTTTTGTTTTATTGTCTGGAAAAAAAATAAAGTCAGCAGCTGATTACTGCACATGCACAGAGGCACAAACCCTAAACAAACAAACCCTAAACAAAGACACAAGCTTGTGGACCATGTCAACTTTAGGGCGACAGCACAATAAACACTTAGACACATGAGTATCTAGGCCATTGAGTTTTAAAGTTACCCACATGCCTAAGTATCTACAAGAAAGAGGATATTTAAACACCAACATCAGAAAAGTGAACCACCAAAAATATGCCCTGTTTTTTTTTAACAGAATATTGCTTGGAAGATGGGAAACATTCATAGAATTATAAGGTTCATAGAATTATAGGACCGCAAATCTTGATTGAGATCGGGCCTGGAGCAGAGCACTGACAATCAGATCTTGTTTTTAAAAATGCTTTCAGGTAATATAGGGTTACCATATTTGAACATTGAAAAAAGAGGACACTCCATGGGGCCCCGGCCCCGCCCCA